TTCTTTTTAAAACACAGCATATGAATCTCCTGAAAAATCACCCATATATGTAACTAGAAGAGGCCAAGCAGAGGCATGGTTTTTTCTACTTACCCACGTGATGGCCGTTAATCGAGTGAACTCATCAGGAGAAGCAGCCCTCTGCACCAGTATTTCAGCCATGCGACCATAATCTACAGACTTTCAACAGTAGCATTGCTTTAGTCAGATATATAACAATGAAACCTTAAAGAAACACACTAACTAACAAGAAAAGAGAAAGCTACAAGAAAACAGACTCAAAAGGGATTTTATAGCAGGCTTTTCGACCTACTTAGTCCTTAAAAACAGGACACAACAGAAATCTTACTGGTGAATTTTTAATCTCCTGAAGAAACTCAGAAAGAGCTGAATCAGCCTGCTGTCGTATTTCATGACTAGAATCGCTCAACATGTTGAATAATCCTGAAAATTTACAGATAAGTTAGTTCAGCCTAAATAACTAAACTTGAATAAGGTCATATATATCTAGCTGAAATTATAAAAATTACAATTACCATCGAGAAAGTCTGGCAGAAACCCGAGCATATCAATGTCTGGAACACTGTCAAGAACAGTGATCCATCCTACCAGAAATTGTCGAACGTAAGGGTTTAACACGTTCATGCGTTCTTTTAACAGAGGTATGAATTCCTCAATACTGCACAATCCAAATGCCAAAAAAGTGGAATCAAATGGAGAGTCAAGTCTCTAAAATTAACAGAAACAAAGTTATTTTTGATACACAGAAAAAAAGAAGCTAACTTAACACACCTGAACTGATCACTTTCCGTCACAATATCCTATTCCACGAGGTATAACTCTAATCAGCATATGATTAAAATCAATATACCACTCCTAGTACGAAAAACTATACATACTACCTTAACAAGGCGATCTAAAAGATGAGCAGCACTTTGAACATTGGCATCAGAATCTGCTGAGAGTTTGCATAAAGCATCAAAAATCTGATTGAAGAAAATAATGAACTCGCCTCTCACAACCTGTATAGTAAACCAGACGAAAAAGGCAATGGTACATCAAAGCCAATAACACATAGAAGAATAAACCAAACCACATGGATTACTACAACATTTTTTCTTACCTTTGCAATGTTATAGAGAGCTTCACAAGCATAATACCGAACTCGACTATCTTGATCAGAAAAGGAGTTAATCACAGGTGGCACTATTTGCTTCACGTATTCATGAATCGAAAAAAGAAACAATTAGAAAACATCCTCCTATAGTCCAAGAAAGAAAGTACAATAATACCATAGATGGATTTATACACTGATTAGATGATAGTAAACATAATGAAATGCAAATGTTTGACTAATTCAGTCTATATGTATATACCTCAAGATATTGAGCAGCTTCTGAAGACAAACCAACTGTTACAGCAGCTAAGCCAATAAGACCACCCTATTCAAAGAAACAAAAAATGTTCCAATAAATCGAAAACCCCTCGAATCTAAAGTAAAACAATCGATGTCAATTGCAAACCTTTCGATGATTTGCTTGAGGGGACTTAGCAAATTCCTTAATCAACATCTCAATGACTTTCGAGATCTTGTCATGGTCACCAGCAGAAGTTAAACTCTTGACAATATTCTCAAGCTACAATTAAAAGAAGAAAAGG